CCCCGGTTCCCGAGTCCTCGACATGGGAACGTTTCACCTTTTGGATTCGGGCTCTGATCTCTGAGCCGAGGTCGGCCCAGAGGAAGGGGGGTGCGCATGGGGGGGCGGGCAGGGGGGGGAGAAGGGGGGGGGGGGGGAGAAGGGGGGAGGAGGGAGGGAGGGAAGGGGGGGGGGGGTGCGAGGGGGGAAAATTAGAGGATAAGGCAGCGCGAGGGAGGAGAGGAGGAGAGACAAACACGGCAACGCTGCGGTCACACCACGCTGCCCGGGCAGGGCAGGCTTCCACTTCGCTCGTCCAGGTCTCTGCTTGGGACCCTCGACCGGCCAGCTGCTCCATTGGCAAAGTCCCTCTGGGCAAAGGCGGCTCCACAGGCGGCCCCCTGTCGCGCGGAGAAAGTCCTTCTGTCGCACCAGCAGGGCAGGTTGCACAGGCGGCCGCTCCGCGGCCACCCCTCGTGGCCATCCGAGCTGCGCCCGACCGCGGCAACAGGGGGGGGGGCGGGGGGAGGGGGAAGAGAGGGGGGGGGGAGGGTGCGAGGGGGGAAAGTTGGAGGATAAGGCAACATGAGAGAGGGAAGGATGAAAGACAACCAAGGCAACGCTACGGCCCCACCGCGCTGCCCGGGCAGGGCAGGTTTCTACTTCGCTCGCCCAGATCTCTGCCTGGGGCCCTCGACCGGCCAGCTGCTCCATGGGCAAAGTCCCTCTGGGCAAAGGCGGCTCCACAGGCGGCTTCCTGTCGCACGGAGAAAGTCCTTCTGTCGCACCAGCAGGGCAGGTTGCACAGGCGGCCGCTCCGCGGCCACCCCTCGTGGCCATCCGAGCTGCGCCCGGCCGCGGCGACAGGGGGGGGGCGGGGAGAGGGGGGAGAGAGGGGGGAGGGAGGGTGCGAGGGAGGAAAGTTGGAGGATAAGGCAACATGAGAGAGGGAAGGAGGAAAGACAACCACGGCAACGCTACGGCCCCACCACGCTGCCCGGGCTGGGCACGTTTCCACTTCGCTCGCCCAGATCTCTGCATGGGGCCCTCGACCGGCCAGCGGCTCCACCGCTCCACGGGCAAGGTCCCTCTGGGCAAAGGCGGCTCCACAGGCGGCTTCCTGTCGCACGGAGAAAGTCCCTCTGTCGCACCGGCAAGGCAGGTTGCACAGGCGGCCGCTCCGCGGCCACCCCTCGTGGCCATCCGAGCTGCGTCCGGCCGTGATGACAAGGGGCGGCTTGAGGCGACCGCCTCGCTGCCTGGCTGGCTGCCTCGCGGGTTACCTCGTTAGCCGCCTCGCTGGCTGCCTCGTGGGCCGCCTCAGCGGCTGCAATTTCTGGCTACAGTGCACTTGCTGGCGCTGGTGTTCCTGGTGCTGCTGCAACTTGTGCCGGTGTTGCTGGTGCTGCTGCAGGTGGTCGGAGGAGGTTAGTGCTGGTGCTGCTGGTAGCTGTAGCAGGAGAAAGTATGTTGCTGTTTCGGTCGCGCCCCATTCTCATGGGCCTGTAGCTGTGGCTTGGGCCTGTAGCCGAAGCTCGGGACCCGAAAGATTTAGCTCGGGCCTGTAGCTGTAGCAGGAGAATAGTATTCTGCTGGTTCGGTCGCACCCCATTCTCATGGGCCTGCAGCTGTGGCTTGGGCCTGTCGCCGAAGCTTGGGACCTGAATGCTTTAGCTCGGGCCTGTAGCTGTAGCAGGAGAATAATATTCTGCTGTTTCGGTCGCACCCCTGTCCCGTGGGCCTGTGGCTGCGGCTTGGGCCTCTGGCCGAAGCTTGGGCCCCAAAAGCTTTAGCTCGGGCCTGTAGCTGTAGCAGGAGAATCGTATTCTGCTGTTTCGGTCGCGCCCCATTCTCATGGGCCTGTAGCTGTGGATTGGGCCTGTGGCCGAAGCGTGGGGCCCGAAAGCTTTAGCTCGGGCCAATGCCTGAAGCAGGAGCCTAATATTCTGCTTTTTCGGTCGCGCCCCATTCTCATGGGCCTGTAGCTGCGTCTTGGGCCTGTAGCCGAAGCTTGGGGCCCGAAAGCTTTAGTTCGGGCCTGTAGCTGTAGCAGGAAAATCGTATTCTGCTGTTTCGATCGCACCCCATTCTCATGGGCCTGTAGCTGCCGCCTGGGCCTGTGGCCGAAGCTTTGGAAACCGATAGCTTTAGCTCGGGCCTGTTGCTGTAGCAGGAGAATAGTATTCTGATGTTTCGGTCGCACCCCATTCTCATGGGCCTGCATCTGTGGCTTGGGCCTGTCGGCGAAGCTTGGGACCTGAATGCTTTCGCTCGGGCCTGTAGCTGTAGCAAGAGAATAATATTACGCTGTTTCGGTCGCGCCACATTCTCATGGGTCTGTAGCTGTGGCTTGGGCCTCTGGCCGAAGCTTGGGGCCCGAAAGCTTTAGCTCGGGCCTGTAGCTGTAGCAGGAGAATCGTATGCTGCTTTTTCGGTTGCACCACATTCTCATGGGCCTGTAGCTGCGGCTTGGGCCTGTAGCCGAAGCTTGGGGCCCGAAAGCTTCAGCTCGGGCCTGTAGCCGTAGCAGGAACCCGAAAGTTTTAGCTCGGGCCAGTAGCTGTAGCAGGAGAATAGTATTATGCTGTTTCGGTCGCGCCCCATTCTCATGGGCCTGCAGCTATGGCCTGGGCCTGTAGCCGAAGCTTGGGGCCCGACAGCTTTAGTTTAGCTCGGGCCAGTAGCTGTAGCAGGAGAAAAGTATGTTGCTGTTTCGGTCGCACCCCATTCTCATGGGCCTGTAGCTGCGGCTTGGGCCTGTCGCCGAAGCTTGGGGCCCGAAAGTTTTAGCTCGGGCCTGTAGATGTAGCCGGAGAATAATATTCTGCTGTTTCGGTCGCGCCCCATTCTCATGGGCCTGTAGCTGTGGCTTGGGCCTGTAGCCGAAGCTTGGGGCCCCGAAAGCTTTAGCTCGGGCCTGTAGCTGTAGCAGGAGAATAAGATTCTGCTGTTTCGGTCGCATCCCATTCTCATGGGCCTGTAGCTGTGGCTTGGGCCTGTAGCCGAAGCTTGGGACCTGAATGCTTTCGCTCGGGCCTGTAGCTGTAGCAAGAGAATACTATTACGCTGTTTCGGTCGCGCCACATTCTCATGGGCCTGTAGCTGCGGCTTGGGCCTGTGGCCGAAGCTTTGGGCCCGAAAGCTTTAGCTCGGGCCTGTAGCTGTAGCAGGAGTATCGTATTCTGCTGGTTCGGTCGCACCCCATTCTCATGGGCCTGTAGCTGTGGCTTGGGCCTGTGGCCTAAGCTTGGGGCCCGAAAGCTTTAGCTCGGGCCTGTAGCTGTAGCAGGAGAATAGTATTCTGCTGTTTCGGTCGCGCCCAAATCGCCCTGCTCACAGCAACTCCTCTGGACATCGTCGTTTGAAACCTGACCGACAAATCCCGATAGTCGGTGCTCTTCGCTAGAGTGGCTGTCTTGCGCCGTCTTGGGGCCTCGTGGGCAGTCCTCGGGCCCTCTGGGAAGCCTCTTAGGCCGTCTTGGGGCAATATTGAGTGCCTCTTGAACCGTCCTGTAACTCCGGAAAACCGAAAAGACGATCAGGCCAAACTCCTTCAAACACCATCGTACAATTTGTAGTGTTGGCCCCTCGGGGCCCTCCCATGAAGCCTTCTGGGGGCCTCTTGGAGCGTCTTGGAAGCCTTTTGGGCCGTCTGGAGCCCACCTTGAACCTCCTGGAGCGATCGTTCGGCGTCTCAAGAGCCCACGGAAACGCCGACAGTTGCGCAGCTGGCAGCTCCCCCCGCAGGTGGCCGCGAGGTCCCGACGCGATCCGCGTGTAGCCCCACTCCGCTGGGTCCAGGAACCCACGAACAGACCGACAGTTGCGCAGTTGGCAGCTCCCCCCGCAGGGAGCCGCGAGGTCCCGACGCGATCCGCGTGTAACCCCACTCCGCTGGGCCCCCCAGGAACCCGCGAAAGTGCCGACAGTTGCGCAGTTGGCAGCTCCCCCCGCAGGGAGCCGTAAGGTCCCGACGCGATCCGCGTGTAACCCCACTCCGCTGGGCCTCCCAGGAGCCCACGAAAGTATCGACAATTGCGCAGTTCGCAGCTTCTCTCGCAGGGAGCCCCGCTGGGCCTCCCAGGAGCCAACGAACGTGCCGACAGTTGCGCAGTTGGCAGCTCCCCCCGCAGGGAGCCGCGATGTCCCGACGCGATCCGCGTGTAGCCCCACTCCGCTGGGCCTCCCAGGAGTCCACGAAGGTGCCGACAGTTGCGCTGTTGGCAAATCCCCCCGCAGGGAGCCGCGAGGTCCCGACGCGATCCGCATGTAACCCCACTCCACTGGGCCTCCCAGGGGCCCACGAAAGTGCCGACAGTTGCGCAGTTGGCAGCTCCCCCCGCAGAGAGCCGCGAGGTCCCGACGCGATCCGCGTGTAACCCCACTCCGCTGGGCCTCGCAGGAGCCCACGAAAGTGCCGACAATTGCGCAGTTCGCAGCTCTCCCGCAGGGAGCCCCGCTGGGCCTCCCAGGAGCCCACGAACGTGCCGACAGTTGCGCAAGTTGGCAGCTCCCCCCGCAGGGGGCCGCGAGGTTCCGACGCGATCCGCGTGTAACCCCCACTCCGCTGGGCCTCCCAGGAGCCCACGAAAGCGCCGACAATTGCGCAGTTGGCAGCTTCCCCCGCAGGGACCCGCGAGGTCTCGGTGCGATCCGCGTGTAACCCCCGCTCCGCTGGGCCTCCCAGGAACCCACGAAAGTGCCGACAATTGCGCAAGTTGGCAGCTCCCCCCGCAGGGAGCCGCGGGGTCTCGGCGCGATCCGCGTGTAACCCCACTCCGCTGGGCCTCCCAGGAGCCCACGAAAGTGCCGACAGTTGCGCAAGATCGCAGGAGGCGACAGATGCGCATATCGCCGCCCCCCCAGAGGGCGCCGCGAGGAGGAGGTAGGAGGACGGAGGGAAGTGGGCGGGAGGACGGGGCGACCAGAGTGCTCGATTCAAAACGAGTACCCAACCAAGGGAGGGCTGGGAAAATATGGCCTGGCTGGGCGACCTGGCGAAGCGGTCAAGCGTACAAGTCCAGGTAGCTGATCATATTCATGCGGTCGCCGATGCACTTGCCCCCTTCAAGCCGCTCCGCCTGAAAGGGGGGGCTCCCGTAGCAGTCGTTGAACGCGTGCACGTACATCATCATCAGACTCTGCATCGCTGGCTGTGCTTGGGGCTACTTGGGGTGGCAGCCGCATCCCCAGCTCCAGCTGCAACTCCTTTGACGCTCTCGGGCTCGCTGGCGCCCCCAGCTGCGGGAGGCTCGGCCTGGCCCTCCCAAGGACGTCCGCTGGCGGCTGCTCCTCGGCGACCCTCCGCTTCTTGCACGCGAGACGCTCGAGTTGCTGCTTTTGCTCCTCACGGAACTGCGCGGCCTGCTCGGCGGCGGCCCCGAACAACTGCTGCACCTGCTGCTGGACCGCTTGCTGCAAGCACTTGAGGCGGACGGCGGCCTCCTCCTTGTCCTCGGCCGGCAGATCGCACTTAGACTCAGGCGCCAGCAGTGAGTCCAATTTAGTGGGGGGCCCCTCACCCTCCAAGATGTCCTCGATCGGAATCTGCGTAGGAGCGGGCCCAGGCGCAGGCACAGCTGCACCCTGGGCAGAGCCACCCCCGACCTGCCTGTTGTAGCTCATGCGCCAACCCCTTGTGCCGCGATTCCGCAGCAGAGAGATCGTCAGGGAGCGACTGGACCACCTCACACTGTGCGGCCAAGTTGCTCTGCAGGCGCTCATAGTACGACACAGCATTGCCGAGCTTACCCTCCAACGCCCGCAAACAAGGGGGCTCAACCTTCTGCTCCGAACGCTTGGTGCCCAGGAGCTTCTTGTACTTGGAGGCGCCGTCGGTGCCGCCCATGATGCGCAGCATGGTGACCAACTCAGACAGGCGCTCCGTCTCTGCTGCCCAGCATGGACGTGACGAAGAACCACCTGGCAGCTGGAGGAGGGCCAGGCTGAACAGGAAGCCCAGAAGCCCGTGTACCAGGAGGAGGAGCCGTCCTGGCACTCCCGTTCGCCAGGCGCCGTGCGGCTGGGAGTGGACGTCGAAGGTAGGCGAACCCCTCCAAACCCAACAATAATTGCACTGCTGCCAAGGCTGCTTGTTTTTTTTTGTGTGTGTGTGTGTGCACCAACATGCCGTGCAAGTCCACGTCGATTGGACACTGCCACGGTGTCCTGCGTCCTGCCATGGCCAGCCGTCATTCCAACGCACAGCACGAGAGGCGTTGGGCGCCAAGGCAGGAGACTGCAAGAGGAAGAAGTCGGGGATGCCTCGCAAGTTGGCTCGCAGGAAAGCGTGCCACTCTGAAGAACTGTTCCTGCAACGCTGCTCGAGCGCAGAGGGGCTAGGAGGAGGAGGAGGAAAAGAGGAGCAGGAGGGGGAGGAGGAGACGGAGGAAGAGGGAGAGGAGGGACCAGGCGGAGGAGGAGGAGGAGGAGGAGAAGAAAGAGGAATAACAAGCGTAGCAGGAGCAGGAGGAGGAGGAGGAGGATACGAGGACGAGGACGAGGAGGCGCAAGAGGAAGAGGAAGGACAAGGCGAAAAAGGAAGAGGACGAGGCGGAGGAGGAGGAAGAGGAGCAGGAGGAGGAGGAGGGACCAGGCGCAAGAGGATGAGGAAGAGGAAGAGGATGAGGATGAGGAGGAGAGGTGGAGGAGGAGAGGGAGGAGGAGAAAGAGGAAGAGGAAAAGGAGCAAGAGGAACAGGAGGGACCAGGCACAAGAGGAAGAGGAAGAGGAGGGAGGAGGAGGAGGAAGAGGAGGAGGGGCTCTCGCCAATCCATACATTCCCTGCATTTCCTCTTGCGTGCATTTACCGATGAGAGATGCTCCTCGCCGATTCCAAACTACAGTTCTACGAGTCACCTCCCCCCTTGCTTTCTCTCTCGCGCCCGCCCTTGCACTTGCTGATCTAAGTGCTGAATACTTTAGCGTGCTGCGTCTTAATGGGATTTTAAGTACTTTAGCGTGCTGCGTCTCAAAGGGACTCTGCCGCCCGCAGCTCCAAAGAGGAGGAAGAGCAGCAACAGCATGACCAGTAGCACGCTTGCAACTTCATGTTCCCAGAAATGGGTCTGGGGAAGTCGCCGCCGACGGTGACGACGATGGTTTCGGACGTCGGCGAGCGCTGTTTGGGGATGAACAATTCGAACGTAACTGGGCCGATCTCCCGCGCGTCTCGACCCTCGGTGCTGGACCACAGCATAGATGCTGAGATGGTGTCGATGACCTCGCCGTAGGCGCTGATAATACGGGCGTGGTTGCTATCAGCAGTGCTGGTGTGTACGCTAGGAGTTGACAGCCGAGCAGAGGTTCATTAGCTTGCACGTGCCAGGATCTAGCCAGGGTGCATGACGTGTGGCTCGCATGTGTCTATATCATCTCTTTTGGCATTCACCGTTCATCGTATAACTACGGTGGTTGCCATTATGGTTTTCGTTGACATGTCCACATTCTGTCACTTGACGATCGTGATTTCCATCATTGTGGGATGTATCTTACCCCTGGCATTCTTCCCTACGCTGGTTGTGCTTTGATCTATGGTGCTCTTCGGGGATGCCGTGCTCATCGATCATCCCCGACGGGGTCTGAGGGGGAACGATTGGTGGGCATCAGCTCAGGGGGCGAAACATCCACCTGGAATCGAGGATACATCGCCGATAGGTCCCCGACAACGAATCCGCGCGTTCTTGGCGGGGCGGGCCATCGTGCCCGCATCGGCGATCCATGGGCGATTGGGGACCGATGCGCCCGCCCCGAAGCCTCTCCTCCCCTAACGCCTAACGTTGCCCCTGAACTCCCCTCCCCCCTGGCGCGCGAAGCGCGCGGGGAAGCGGTGCCGGAGGCGCCGTCGTGGAGGCTCGAGCGCCGACCAATGAAATCAGCGTGGGCCTCCGACTGTGCGTGCTCGCGCCGTCTTGCGCTCAACGAGTTTTCACCAAACCTCTCAAGGTCTCTTGTTTTGATATCCCCCCTGCTACTTTCGGCGGTGAATAAAACTGGTCCCTCCTCCTCCTCCTCCTTCTTCTCCTCCTTGGCGAGAGAAGGCGCAATCAAAAACTCGCATGCCCGACGGGCCAGAGGCGTGCTAAGACCTCCGCGCGCGCGTGGCAGCTCCTCGCGGTCACGGAGGAAAGATACCGGAGCAAAGTCCCGGCAGGTCCGCGCCAGGGAGGCCGGAGGCCCCCAAGACGGCCTGATGGGAGGCTCCCAAGACGGCCTGATGGGAGGCGCCCAAAATGGCCCCAAGACGGCGTCTGGACGGTCCGAGAGGGCCCCGAGTCCCAGAAAGATCGCCCCAAGATGATCAAGACGGCCCCATGACTGCACCCAAGAGGCCGCCAAGAAGCCTCCGACAGCACTCCCGAGAGGGCCCCGAAAAACCAAAGTCATTGATTTCCCTCCGATTTTTGAGGATTTTGTTAGCCGCCCTCTCGGCTGTTCGGTGCTTCGACTCTCCCTGACGGCCCAAGAGGCCCCGAAGATCGCCCCCAGACGGCTCAAGAGGCCCCCAGAAGGCGCCCAAGACGGCCCAAGAGGCTCCCAAAACGGCCCAAGAGGCGCCCAAGGCGGCCCCAAGATGGGGGAACGCGATCCGAAGTTCGAGCTTTCCACCCAAGGAGGGCCTCAAGAACCCCAAAGTGGCCCCAAGAGGCCTCAAAGGTCAAACATCTGTCTTCAACACGCCCAGGAGAAGCATCCCACGAGACCCCATCAGCCATCCGAGTGGCCTCAGACCCACACGACCACGCAGCCCCAGCGATGCGAGATGGACCGGCGGAATGAGCGAAACAATTAAATAAGTAGCTACCCCCCATGGGGGTAATCTAAAGACCCTGATGGGTAGGCGTCGCGCATCGCGCCCCTCGATGTGCGGAAACCCTGGAGAAAGGCAATCGCTCTGGTCCGGACCGCGACGCGCGACGCACGGTCCCCTTAGCGCCCTCAGGGGCGACCCGGGTCTGTGCTCATGCCGTGGTGCGTTCCACGAGCCGCTGTCGTGACAGAGGCACTCGGGTGCGTCGAAGAGGGGGGCCAGGGACAAGGGGGTCAGCGCATCATGGCCCGAGGCGGGTGCGCGGAAAAACGGGGCTAAGGAACGCATCGAAAGAACATTATCCCAGTGCGACCCTTCCTAGGAGTTGGAGCATCTAGGAAAGCAACATCTACATCTACACTGACAGCTACATTAACATCTACACCTGCATCTACGCTATGATATGCTATGCTAGGCTGTGCTATGATATGATATGATGCGCTATGATATGCTATACTATGCTATGCTGTGCTGTGCTGCGCTGTGCTATGCTATGATATGATATGCTATGATGTGCTGTGCTGTGCTGTGGTATGCTATGATATGCTGCGATGTGCTATGCTAAGCAATGCTATGATATGCTATGTTATGATATGCTGCGCTATGCTATGCTATGCTATTATATGCAATGCTATGCTGAGCCATGCTGAGCTATGCTATGCTATGCTATGCTATGCTCGGCTATGCTATACTATGCTGTGCTAATGCTGCGCTGCGCTATGCTGCGCTGCGCTAAGCTAAGGTAAGCTAAGCTAAGCTAAGCTAAGCAAAGCTAAGCTACGCTAAGCTAGGCTAAGCTAAGCTAAGGCACGCCACGCTAAGCTAAGCTAAGCCTAGCTAAGCTAAGCCTAGCTAAGCTAAGCTAAGCTAGGCTAGGCAAAGCTAAGCTAAGCTAAGCTAAGCTAAACTAAGCTAAGGTGAGATAAGCTAAGTTAAGCTAAGCTAAGCTAAGCTTAGCTAAGCTAAGCTGGGTGAACCCAGGGGGCGCAACTGGGGAAACCGCGGGGCGGATCCTGGGGGAACCGCCCAGGGCGGGTTCCACTGCCCGGCCCTTAAGCATATAGGGTAAGAACCCTTCTAGGCAGAGCCTAGGTAGGGAATAAGGGGGCCATGACATCTGGGGATCTCAGGGCCTCCGCCATAATATCCCATCCCCCCAAATTCTCAGCTACCTCTCCGACGACTGGTGGTCGTCGGTCAAAGCTCGAACCTCCCCCCTCGATTGCTTGGGTCCTCAAACGGTGCGGTGACAGACCGCGCGGTGACCTCGCAACCCGCAAAAACCTCATCGCGTTGTCCGTCATCGCGCGGGTCTGGAACCATAGAGGCCCCAGCCGACAGAGACGCCTTCGGAGAGCGATCCAAATCCCAAAACCATGCGCTCACCCCGAAGCCCCACTGACTAACCACACGATGGTGTGGTCACCGCACCGCTTGGGGGTAACCGACCGTTCGCCAACGAACACTACCCCAGCAAAGCACCCTAACAACAACAAGCGCGAAGAGACAAACCGAGGAAAAGGCAGGTCGGCGAATGAAAACGCGCACCACTCTATAGTCCTCCAGCTTTCTGGTACATAGGCAGCCAGGACAAGGGTGATTTTTACACGAATTCGTGGCCGTCTGGGCCACACATGGCTGCGGTACTGCAGCGAGAGCGCGATTCCAAAACAGATCGCCAGGAATTCCCAGGCGAAACAGCTGCCCCTGTGGGACTGCTCAGTGGTCCTTTTCTAACCTCCACTAGGGGCCTCTAGCGAGACACTGTGCCTCCCCCCCCAGGTCCTCACCCCTCCGTTGGACACATGGAAAGGGTACGACAAGCATGGGTGCGCTGCTCAACAGCAACAGCTATCCCAAATCGAAAACAGCCGCTGGGTTCATTTGGGAAACGTCCGCGGCGCGGCGATATCGACAGCGAATCCTGCTCAACATGAGCTGGGGATTTTGTCGGTTTTCGTACCCACTCGTTCCGTGCGGCAAATCCCACCAGCCCTCTGGGCGTCGGTGGTCTAGAGAGTTTCCTCTTCCAACCCCCTTCTTCCCCTTCGGGGAGGGGTTCACCCCTCCCCCTATCC